GAAAAATGAGAAATAAATCGAAATTTAAAAAAAAAATAACAAAAATAATGAATATATTTAATGGCAGTTCCTCGCGCGGGAAACAGATAACTCTTGCGTCACGTGCGAGAGAAACGTGCGAAAGAAGCACGAGATAAAAGACGAAAATTTAAAACAAAGATGGCGGCGCGAGGATTTTTTTCTACTTATGTGAGAAGTTTACCCAAGAGCTTGTATTTGATGTGTTGAGCGGCCACTGTGAATGCAGGAAATAGAAACTAAAATAAAGAAGACGATTTTCGGAGAAGTAAAGGTTACATCACTTCACATTTAAAAGAAATATTCAAGTGATATGAAATCTTGCGACGGCGAAAAAAGAAGAACTCAAGTGAAGGATAATCTACCTGAAGTGGAAGAAGACTTTGAAACTTAAAGGAAAATAATATGATATAGCCAGAACAATAAAATAATAAAAATAATAAATATAGCCAGAAGTCGTGTGTAGGATTTTTAAGATAAGCCCGGGAGGCTATCTTTGACAGCTGTTTAATGATTTTCTTTGCAGTAAACGTCTGTAAACAGACAGAGCTGAATAATGAAATGCTACCTCAGCGGGTATGCGGTCAACAACGCGGGCTCAAGTGTCCTAGGTCTAAAATTGAGCGAAATTAGCGGAAAATGATTAGGGCTGACCTTTAAAACCTAGGAACTCTGTTTTCGTCGAAGACACTTTCCTATTTCCTAAGGTTTAAAGGAGAAAATTAATTTTTGAAAATTTTTAGGGGGGTGTACCAAATTTTTGGAGGTCGTTCTGTAAAGGAAAAGCGGCAAGGAAAACGACGCCTCGAAGCAACAGAATAGGAAATCAACCATGCGAAAGACTCAAAATCTGTGTTTCCGCGGCAAAACCTGGTGCATGCGTATACGTTATTCAGCTCTGTCCTTTAAACATCATAGGCGCTCGCGCGAGCACACGCAATTGTCAGCGGTAGCTATAACACATCAGGGCCGGTAGCTATAACACATCAGGGTCGGGTTGTTCTGAAAGCTCTGAAAGAAAATTCAGCTTAATTCCATTTGTCTACAATTTGATGATTGAATGTCCTAAAAAGAACTAAGAAAACTATCCCAAAATGGCTTTTGATTAGAGAAATTTAGAAACCTGGATTAAAATTTAACCCTGGGTTAGAGCTAATCGGCCTTTGAACAACTGGGCCCAGATTTTTAAATGCGAGAACGCGCGTGGAAATTGCTAAACTCACGAAAGCTATTACATGATGGAAAGTAGTATTTTCCAACTATTACCATAGACATTCAACAGAAAAGCAGTCAATGGATCACCCTATCCATTTCGGTACATGTTACTTTTCCAGCCTATCATTCTGTGGTAAAGCATAATCGCACAGTCTCCCCGCGCTGGATGCTGGACTAAAGTAGTTTCCCTGTATTCACATCTGTCCGCGTACATGCGAAACTCTTTGTTGTGAATCACTTTAACTTCAGCTTTTCTTGCCAGTATACCAATGTATGCATCGTCGATTTTAAGAGGCTTTGAAACGTCATAGTACGACAAAAACGTTTCCACCACGTCGCGGGACAAGATATAACCCCCTCCGCTACAATACGGCTTATAAACCGTATCGCCATATTCTTCGGGAGTAACACCATATCGGCCATTTCGCAAAACAGGACTGCCGACCATGATATGGCCGGTGTATAATTTACTAATTGGGGTTGTTTGTTTGGTTAAAAATTCCACCATACCAAGAGTATTCACAAATACATCATCATCTCCTTTAAGAAGGTAATAGAAAGTGCAATGTTTGACCGCCCATTCGAATCCCATCGCAACTTTGAAACTCATGTTCCAAAAGTGTTCTTGATAATCTCCTTGCACTATGTCGCCGTATATTCCGGATTCTACGGAAGCATTTTCCATCACTTTCTGATTTCCGTTCTTTCCCACTAGAAAAACTGTTTTCCATCTGGTTTCGATCGAGTGATCAGCGCCCCAAGTCTTTCGTATTAATTGACGCCTATCAAAATTGCCCACATTTGACGACACTAAAATAAGAAAAAGTAGTGGGTCCGCTGGACAAGTTGCAGTAGTTAGCAATTTTGTGCGAAGTTTAGGATTTTGGGAATAGACCTCTCCGTCTAACGAGTTAACTGTCTCATTCCGTTGTAAGAAAATTGATTCAGAGTCCCCGTACACAAAGGACGAAGCCATTAGAATCACCTTTTCGTTGATATTGTTCAGTGTCATCCATGAAGTCCAGGCAACCAGAAGTAACAGGCAAATGAGGGCAAGAGGAAGACACTTCCTCAAGGTACGAATAACCAGTGAAGATAACTGCTTTAAGTTTCTAACCAAAGTCACCGCACACCCTTTATGTTCCATCTAACCTCAATAATCGGCGTGTTCAGTTGATTACTAAAAAGTTGGTTCCCCCTCTTTGCCCTTCTGTCGATCATTGAATCGAACTGGTTCCAAATAAACCTCTAAGATTTACTTTTCAGCTAAAAAGGCAAACAATTTGCTGATTACCCATCACCCTATTAACGGGTGATCCACAAAAAGCACCTCATGCTTTTTTGACTATCCAGAGAGCACTAGTCAGTTTGTTTGCGGCGCCGATCCCTTGTGGTTGCATGTGAATGAAGAGCACATGACTGACGTCTCAAAGTAAAAAGAAAGTGTTCACTAAAACTACCTTTGCAGATCAGAAATTTGGAATTTCTGATTTGATTTTTGTTCTTTTTTCTCCTCCTGATATATCCCATCTCTAACTTAAAAACGAACTGCAGCGTTCCATAAGATGTAAACAAACAGGTTTTCGACTATGTGTCAGATACATTAATTTTTGACGAAGCTTATTAAGTGGATATTGCAAATGCGTTTACTTAGAACATGACATTATTGAGTGACGTTTCTGAGTGACTGCAAGAGCGTGGAAGGGGCTCAGGATTTTTCATCTCTAGATTTATCAACTTCCATGCAGTTATTTACCAGTCTTTGTTTTTTTTTCTCTTTTCCGTCAGTTATTTATTGTGAGTAACGTTTCTTGACTCAAACCGAAATCCCAGGCTTCCAGCCATTCGCAACATCTCGGGCACTGTCTTACTAATGTAAGTTTCCCGCAGACTATCAAATATAATAACACAGTCCATCAATCATTTCAACTCTCGACACAGCGAGTCGTCAATGATGAAGCACTTTAAAAACAGAGCAGAAAGGGGTAGTATGTTCTGGGAAACACATTATTTCATTACCGCTTTTGAAAAGACAGCACATGGAAAAACATGACACTCCTAACCGTTTTAAAATAGTCTTTTTATACGCTAAAATTCTTCAAAAGGACTCTGCGCCATTTTTTCTAACTCAGTGACCTGGCCGCACTCGATTCACTGACGTCGCCAATACACAGCGGTCAAACACTACCCATGCTCGAGAGTTTGCAAACAATTAGGAGGGATTTCCACCGACCGCGTGTCTAGCGTAAAGCGAAGAAGAAAAGTCAAAATACCTAACTGTTGCAGCGTGTACTGCAAATGAAAGAAGAATTTTCGATAAAGATGAAATCTTGGTCTTATTTTTTTGTGAGATATCCAAACTTTTTTTAACGCTGACGCTTCGTTTCGGTAATGAAAGAAAATGGCAGGCTATTGTCCGCTGCAGACATAGACCTGCTATTGTCACAAATATCTTGTGTGGTTCTGGTTCTTCCCTTTTTCACACATTTCCCTCGCTGTTTATCACCATGAAAACAACAAAGAATAACTACTGCCAGCACGGCCAAGTTTACGGACGACTTCACGCCGCCATGTAAAGTTTAAAAAAAGAGAAAGAGAGTGTAAAACAACACAAAGTGGGTAAAGTCTAGGACAATATGTTGAAGTCTCAGCCTTAGAAACCTCGAAATATCCCTAGAAACTGTGAAAACCACGTCTCACTTAGATTCTCCAAGTTAACAATAGCAAATTTACCATCTTAGTGCACATGTGCAGTCATTTGACCACTATGTTTGACGTCGCCATTTTTTTAAAGTAAGTTAATGACATGGCCGCACACATATCACGTTTATAATGCAACTCAAATGTAAATAGCAGGAAGTAAGACACTGTTGCCTCGGTAATGGGCTTCTCTGTTTCAACGTTAAGCCCACATTCTAGCTAGTTGCAATTGATATGGTTCGAGAATAGCCCGGTTGTTATCGGCTGAAGTCAGCTACGTCAAAGACAAGTGGCCAAGTTGATTGATCAAAATGGCGGCGCCCGCTGTCTTATTTTTTTTTTGCACATTTGAAGCGGTAACCGGTCGTTTCCTACCCACGTTTGATTTTTTTCTCAGTCGATTCGTACCAGTCAGAGCGTTTTCACTCACGTGACCAAAACCCTGACAACTGTTGCTATGCCGCCATATTTGTGTACAGATATCGCATGCAAATCTACTGCGTCCTTTGAAAGAAGATGTTTTTGTGCTTGATTGTCGGCTGTGAAAATAGAAGTGGAAAAGATAAAGGATTATATTTTGCCAAAGTACCTTCGATAATTGAAAATCAAGGAAAAGAAGCCAGAGAATTGTCAGCAGAAAGAAGATCGCGCTAGATTTCTGCTATTGGCAGAGACGATCTCACCGATACCATTTTGGAAAACGATCGTGTGTCTGAGAAACACTTTGTTTCTGTAAAGGCCGCAAAATCATGGGATAAATTTAACATTGATTGGGTCCCAACTCTGAATTTAGGACATAATAAGGAGACTGGCCGTAGGGATCGAGAACAAGCAGCAAAAAGAATTAAGAGGGCGAGGGAACGCGAATTGGTGAAGAAGCCGGCGTTTGCCAAAAGGGTGAAAGTACTAGAGTCTGAGAGGGAGGAGAAGTTTTTCAAATTTAGCGAATCGGGGCAGCAAAGTTTAGATTTAAACTTCGAAGGTAGCGAAGCAGAAAGTCTAGAGAAGCCCACAGAGAAAGGCTCATAAACTGACTCAAGAATGTTTGTTGACGTCGGCACGCAATCGGAAGAGTTTGCGTGCAAGCAAGTTTTCCATTCATCTTCGTCCACGCTTCTATGTAAAAGAAAACGCTTGCAATATGCGAGCATG